TTAAATTCCCAGACAAAAATAACCTTTCGTATTAATTTTGCGTAAGAGAATCAGTTATTTGTTTTTTATCATTTCAATCCACTGTTTATTTTCTCTTCCTCTAGCTTGTATAATTCCTGTACCTCTTTCTCTGATTGGATGTTCACGAACCGAAAGAAGCCCACGTGATATGTAACTTACCCTTGGATACTTGGGTCTTAGGTCACGCGGCAGGATGTGAACAGATTGTTTGCAGCTGACCACACAAACTTGGCATATTGTGACCACTAAGGAAGCACTCCTGCAAAAAGCTACGCGAATATCAATATCATCGAAGTTCTCATTACGTATCAAGAACTTCCCGATCTGGGTAGAATGACCTTTACAGTTGAAATAAAAGCCTTCCTTTTTAAATTCCGTATTATTCAGGAAAAGTGGTTTCAAATAACCTTATAATCTAGGACCACATCCGTTTGCGTTAATTGTTTTAGTCATCAAATCTTAATCCAATGGGCAGATAAGTACATACTGTTGGAGTTCGTTCACTTATTAAAGTTTTTTGTGTGTTTAAACACACACACACACATATATATATACACATATATATATATATATATATATAAAGAAATATAGTTCTAAGGTTTTAACTGTTATTTTCAACACATATCCGCATAAGCTGTGCTCTGTAACTCTCTACCTCGAGTGGCCCTCAAGCCTTGTACAAGGTGAACATCAGTGTAAAAAAAATAATAACATAATGCACTGTTTTCCTCAAAATTTAGAAAATCCGACAACGGAAATAAAGAGGTTTCATTTTTTTTTTTTTAGATTAAATTAAAAATTAAATTTGCCCACGTCACTTATATTTTCAGTATGTCTAGTGATTTATTTATTACAGTAATTGTGGCACAAGGCCAATAAAATAGGGGCAGATGGGTCAAAGTTGATCGACCCTAACTATCCTATTCCTACTTAATCAGATTCACGACCCAATCATTCGTTACAATTTATTCATTCACGATAAAAAAAATCTATCCGTCAGCATTCAATCATACATACAACAAAATACCCCACAAACACAGAGCACCTACCAAAAAAAAAAAAAGAAAAGTAAAAAGAACATCTCCATGACGTAAAAATTTCTATATTTATAATTGTGTATACAAAAATATATATATAAAAAAAAAATTTATATCAATGTGATGACCCCGAAAACAAACGGAAAAAAGAATGATGTCCACGCCTCCAAAAATAAGAGTTGCCGCTGTTTTCTGTCTTTCGACAAAATCCTGAGGTTCTCTCTCTCTCTCTCTCTCTAAGGGAGGGGGAAGGATAAAAAAAAATTATGGGCATTAAAAAATTAAAAAAAAAAGTATGTCTTAGGAAAAATATTTCCGTGGAAATTGGAAATTAGAAATAATTAAAAATTTAGTAACATTTGTAAATGTAATAGTGTGTAGATCCATTTTTCAAAAGGAATTGGATTATGAACTTGGTAATACGCCATCTCTAAAATCTGGCAAGTGTTCAGAATTCTTAATGAGTACTACTTTCGGCTTTCTGTTTTTAATTTCATACCATGACTGTACATCAACTGAGTGCAGATGACTTTCTTTGTGTTCAATACTTTATCATCATTCTCTTTCTTTTTCTGTATATTTATGCGCATGTGTCTGTTTACAAAGTCTTATTTCTGTTGATGTTTTGCTAGAATATTTTAGATGAATTGTTAAAAAATTGTGCGAGTATCACCATTTTCATTGTTTTTGTTTGAAACTTTTAGATGAATTCCTAACATTTAATAAATCTTTTCGACTAATCTCATCATCATTGTTTTGTTTTTTTTATCTGGGGCCTTGAAATGAGCTTGTTGCGGGTAAGCTCGTTGTGTTTATGTAGAAAACCCGTGCCCTAGTATTATTTTTGCCGTAACATTTATTGGGGACTCGAATGTAAATTCAAGTAATAATAGAGTAACACAAAAATAATATAAAACAAATGAAAATACATGTATTAAAAGTATTACAATTATAATGAATCAAAAAACATTTAAAGACAAGTTTCATAAAGCATTTAAATTAGAGAATGTGTGTGTATGTGAAACTTGTATCGGCCTATGTGATAGACATGTGTGAGAAAGAGTACAAAAAGCCACAAGAGGAAAGTAAGACATTGAATATGAACGTTTCCCAGTGGGGGACAATTTTTGTACACGTGTGACTACATCTTATAGCCAGAATTGTAAAAAAAGGAAAGAGGATGAGTTAGAATATTTATAGGCTTAAGGAGCGTCCCCTAGCGGCGTTTTTTAGGAAAGTCAAGTGGGATAATCCACAGGTTGTTGTTAATATTCAATGAATGTTTTTAACCATTCTCAATTTCATTATTTTTAACTGGGATATTGAGTTGAGATGTTGTTAATATTCAATGAATGTTTTGGACCATCTTTAATTTCATTATTTTTAACCGAGATTTTGAGATGTATTGTTTGTTTCCCTCCTCTTCATTGTCCTTCTTGCCTGAGGCTTTGAAATACGTTCTTGTTAATATCCAATGCTCGTCTTTATTGATACTTTTATTTGAGACTTTTGTATGGCTGGTTATTCAATGTATGCTTTCAACTATTCTCACCTTCCTTTAATATTTCCATTACATCCTGCCGGTGTATTTATTAATGTTTAATTATTGTTCCTTTCCTTTAATGATATTGGGATTTGCCACCAGCCACACGAATTCTAAAAACAATCTTCCAAAGGTGATCTTTTTCTCCACTTAATGCCTGATACATCTTGACTAAAGACGCTACCTGCAACTCGGAAATCCGCACACGGATTGCTGCAGGCATGGCAGCGATGGCCAAATATGGAGGAGCAAAATCAGCTTTCAAACAGACTGTACAAATCGCTGGCAGTCTTCATTCTCCTCTATGGATGTGAAACATGGCAGAAACAGAGAGAAGGATCTAAGTGTAAAAGAACCAATGCATGAGTAAACTCATTGGCGTCTTCTATTGGGAGCAGAAAACCAATAATATTGTGCGGAAAAGGCTTGAAAGTTTTGTGGGCCACCAGGAACCTCTTCTCGCCACTGTTAAACGAAGAAAAATGGCGTGGTTTAGACACATTATAAGGCACGACAGCCTGTGAATGACCATCATGCAAGGCACCGTTGAAGTTAGACATAGGAGAGGATGCCAACGCAAAAAAACTGGTTGGACAATGTCAAACAATGGACAGGTATGACTATACCAGAATTACTGATGGCTGCCGTTGATAGACCGTTATGGGGGAGATTTAGTGTGGCTTCTTCATTCGGATCACACCGCCCCTACGATTGCAAAAGTCAAGGGGACGATGATGGTGATCATGATGACTGTGATTAATCCATGATCAATACATTGATTGATTTATTTTTTACGGTTTATCAACATTTTTGCAGGTTATTTAAAACCAGGAACTATTTTTAGATTGTAAGACTTTTTAGGAGATAATAATTATTGTTATAGAGTAGTTTCACAGTGGAGGCTTGTAGTTCACTAAGTCGGCCCTAAAAAGGTTCGACGTACTAAACGTTAGGAACTTGATATAATAGTTAATGACGCAGCAATCTAGTTGTGGTGGCTGATACTTTAATATCCGACTAACGGTCGTCCGACATCGACTGACTAACCAACTCACTGAGCTACTTAGCGACTGCTACTACTCCTACTTATTATAGGTGGGAGAGTCTATTAACAATAGAATAGGTGTGTTCCAGTATAACAATTATTGACTAATACAATTCCCACTAATTAACCCATAGCTGGAGGAGAAGATATGGATTCATACCATTTCCAATTGTGCTTAAGCATAAGTGAATAGAACGAACCTGATTAGAATTGGAACTCGACTCTCTGATTTCCAATTCCGAGCCGTCAAAGCCAAGATTACAGTAACTCCCAATAGTCACCCATCTTTGTACTGACCAGACTTGACGTTTCTTAACTTCGGTGATTGTACGAGTACCTGTGTTACAACGTGATATGGTCGTAAGCCCCATTATTAAAACAAACTTCAAACAGAGCATTATTACTTCCAACTCCGAAAACGTAGGCTCTGAAAAAATCGCCCCAAACTCTTTCTATGATTATCTGTCTATATTTCTGAGATTTGTAATTATTTATCTATATTGTTCCGAATGTCCTCATCTTTATTGCCATATTCACGATGTTTTGGCCATTGTACGCTCCGACCGTTATACATTGAAATTGTACGCTCCAATATACGTTAGAATTTTCGAACCGAACCCTTTGTTTAGTCGTCGAGGGTAGATTGCTCTAATTCCACGTGCCATACCTTTTTGGGGTGGGATATCTCAGTTTCAGCTAGTCTAACTTTATTAACTCTCCAAATTTCCCCCTCTACTGTGGCCAGGTATTGAACTCACGACTCTTTGGGTCAAGTCACTTTTTGGATTACTCAACGAACACTGGGCTATGTGAGTGAATTTTAGCGACTTATAAACCTAATGTCTCAGTAGCATTTTTACCAGAGCTCATATTATAATTTCTGTTATTGTTGTATGTTTGTATCATTAATTAAACTCGTATCATTGTCATCATTTTTGTTATTTTTACAACGTTTCGGCTCTAGTGCTCTCCAGCATTCATCAGGTCGAACCTAGTTTCAGGCATTGTGCCCGCCGGCCTTCTTCAGATGCCAGTTGATCCAAGTAGTTTTCAAGCAAATTTAAACCGAACGATTTAATTAATCTATATGGAGGTGGGGTAGAGATATCTCGTTTATTTTTATGATTTATCAATCTTTTTGAAAGTTATTTAAAGCCAGAAAATGTTTTTAGACTCTAAGAATTTATTGGAAATAATAATTATTGGTTAATACAGTTCCTACTAATTAACCCATAGCTGGAGGAAAAGAGGTGGATTAATAACTTTCCCAGTGGTATTTGCGTGTTAATGATTATACGAAAACTACTGAAATTGAAATTCGACTCTCCGATTTCCAATTTCGAGCACATACAAG